ACCCTCATGCTCGCCAGGCAGGCGCTGTGGACTGAGCTACATCCCCAGCCCTGACAGTATTCTTAAGTGACCTTTGCAGGTGAGTCTTTCCAAAACATTCAGTTCATTATCACACAGATGCCACCACTTTCTCTTTACTTTTGTCAGTTTATACAATGCTTAATTAAAATTATGCTCTTTTCATTACAAGGAAAAACCCTGTCATAATAAAGAGTGTGGAGACAAAGAACATAGCTGTATGTGGAGGAGCAGGATCCAGGGGGGGAATGAACCCTCACCATTCACACTCAGTTCATGCTGCACTTTGAGAAGCTGGCTGAGAACTTGCCAAGCCCCATTTATCTGGGAGGCGGATAATGGAGGTAGGTGGAAGCAGCCTTTACTCAACACTGCGCCTACGGGGTTCTCACCAACATAACCCCATGGAGATTAAGCTCAACCCAAGAGCACTCTAATGCATCTTCTGCAAAAGAAATCAAAAAGAGGAGGATGTGCTAGAGCTCTCTCCTGAATGTTTGCTACACTAAGGTGGTAAGTATCACAGGAAATGAAAATCACCCAAGGAGCAAAGTACAGTGGAGGACTAACGGAGCTCACATTAACCCAAGTACGCAGAGGCTTGCTTCACTAGAAGTTTACAACTTCCAAGCAGGAAGCTGATCCTATTGACATTTCCTGAGCCAGTAAGCTTGCAGGTGTCACTATTACTCACAGGATAACTTTAACCTCTCCTTGAAATGTGAAACCTTCAGTAGCATTTTGTGGTACTCGAGGAGATAAACAACTTTCCAATGTAAAGACTTAAGGACAACATTACAAGAATATTTGATGAAATGCGAATGAATTATTTTAACAGCAACAACAGATATTAGAGTGATCAAAATTCACACTGAATATATGGGTGATGATTCATCTTTAGTCAAACCTTAATTGCTACATTCAGCTTAATGATTGGAACCTGTTCCAGAAATATTGAAAGCAGGTGCAAAATGAGAGCTAGTATCAAATGCCATTCTCGGTGAAAATAAACTCCGGGGCAATTACTATATGGAGTATTACATAATTTATAGGGTCTCAATAATATAATCTGAGTTTTAATATTATAGAACAGTAAATTACTTGTCTATAACCTTTGTTACAAAAGCCTGTGTTTATATTCTGATTGTGGGAAGGGCGAGCTAGATACACAGTAACTTTGTG